AAAAAAAATTTTTATCTGTTTGACATTTTAAATGCTATTTTTATTGATTACCTATATTGCATATAAATCCAAAACCTATTTATTACTATTAACAGATTTTAATAACTATTTTTTATTTGAAAGAAAAAACTTCATATAAACTGCATTGAACTCCAATTTTTATGTATTTCAAATAATCAAATATTATATAATATAAAATAATTTGTAAAATATAGCTCAACATTTTCTTATTTTTAATTACATTTAAAGTGTGAGATTAAAATATTGAAAAACAGGTACAGGGTTCAATATGGTCTCTAGAAAATAATACTCAATTGATTAAATTTGGTTCATTCTACAGCATAGAACCATTATTACAATAGTGTATTTTTATGAACTAAACTACAATTACACCAGCATATTAATAATGACCAAATTAAAATTATTATTTTCAAGTGTTTATTTCTAAGAAGAAGTAATTGATCCTACCAAACATGCTTGTGTGATGGCACGTAAGTCATTTGTAAAACTTAAACAAGAAATTTGTAGCCATAGTGTGTAATGTAGGCATATATCATCACAAAATTGCTTAAAAAGAGGGGTAATTTGATTATCGTAATCATCTCTGTTTATAAATCATCAAGTTAATTTGTATTTATGTATCCTATTTGATTTGAATAATTGATTATTATTRTTATATTTAGTGWTGTAAAAGAGTTAAAATATTTACCTAAGAAATTAAAAAATATAATAATAAAAGTAAACAAAGTGATTGATTTGAAAATGAATCAGATTAAACTTAATCTAATCACTATAGGCAAAACATTTTTTTTAACTACAAAACATATCTATTATAGATTATCTAWCTAAATTTTAAATGGTTAAAAAAAATGTATACCTCAAAACATATACATATTATTTATTAAATTGTTTTCATCAGTATAATATCTATTTAACAGATATATTAAATATAAATTCTATAAGTGAATATTATTTCCTTTGAATTAAAAAATTATTCTAATTAAGAAGTAATAAATATAAAACGATGGGATGGTTATCTTCATTTAGGTTCAGAGCTTTAAATAGGTTGTCTGGAATGAATTAGCTGTATGCTGAAATTATGTTCTCATATGCTGGTACAATAGGTGTTAACATTCATTTGAAAGTCAATAAGTGTGGGTGTAGATTACACTGTAGAAGCATGATTCTGTCATTGGATTATTGACTGTTTGATGAGCTACTATGTCAACTTTCTCATTTCTATCAATTCTACTTTCCACTATGGCCTSGTTTATATATAAACAGTGTATTCTTATTAGGTATTAAATTTATGTTACTTATTTTGATTACTTATGTGCTCAGATAGAAGCTATAGGTACTCCAGATCGAATAGCTACAAATGGGATTAGCTGTTTGGACATGGAGATAATTTGGCTTAAGAAATTGTTAAACAAATCAACCAATAAATATATAAGTAGTAAAAATGAATAAATAATATACAATACCAAAAACAGTTATTCTTTTAAAATTGTTCTTTGAATTAATTTAGTAACATATAACACTATACTATCCATAGCAACACACACTCTGCTTAAAGGTAGTAGATATAGCAATATTTTTTGTTAAAAAAAAAAAAAATATGTTATACTGATCTATTGGGCGTATTATAATAGGTATTTTTTTGATTTTGAGTATCATTGTAATAATTTTTCTACTGTTATTTTTATTGATTTGATTTGATATTGTGATTTATTTATTTTTTAACATCTAATATTGTCCTCGTGTCTAAATAGCCGTATCCAAATGTCCATTTATCCTTAATCAATTTAGATTGTGACATGAATCCATACAAATGTTAATAATAAGATCAGGTGATTAAACAGTAGATAAAATGAACTTCTTTGTATTTCACCWTATAAATATTAATATATTTAATGAGTAATGATAAATAGATAAATGATATTCAGCCCAGGATCATAAAACTACTGAATGCACACATAGGATTAAAGGAGTTCTTGACAAAGTCAGTGAAGGCAGTCAATTTAATAATAATATTTTAAAGTTCATTAGTAAAATTAGGTTGAGGTTAGGGTCCGTTTTATTTTTATCAATTTATGAACATGGTTTATATAATGTTTGAATTATTCTAATTTATTTATCTTGACCATCTAGTCTGGAATTTCGATAGTGTATACACATACTAAAACAAAATAACAATATTAAATTTGGTCTCATCCATAATTTTACATTATAAATTTAAAGTTTAAAAGTACACATAAACTAATAATCTAGCATGCTATTTGATTAACATTTTTGGTACATATAATATATTATAATAATATGAGAATATATTTGACAACATAATATATGATAGATAAATAGGTTTATAAATCAAACACTTAAAACTATTACAATAAAGTAAAATAAATATTAGTAATGAACAAAATAACAATCAGAATTTTCAGTGACGATTGTATCTAATTCGGTTATATTTCCCCCCTTCGACTTAATATTAATTTCTTCCGACAAAGATGGCATGTCTACAAGACAACTATGATGATTTGCTGAAATAAAAGTAAAAGTTATTAAGATAATTAATAAACCATAACAGTATTATATTTGCACATTTCTAAGTTTAAGTAATGTAACTGTTAAATTTAGTGAGGGGGAATAACACTACACTTAAGCTACAAGTAACTGCATTAAAATCATGTAACTTTTTTGTAGAAAAATTACCAAATTATTTGTTACTTTATTATTTGAAAACATTTTAAGAACCAATTATTATTATCTGGTGTTAATAAAGAACTAATTGAAATTATATTACATAAATACATTAYACTAGTTTGATTTTTGAATATTAACATTTTTGTATTAAGACGAATTAGACAAAAAAATTTAATTTCTAAGAAGTTGGAACATGCATTGTTGTTTGAAATAGAATAATAAATAAATAATAMTATGTTAAATATTGTGTTCTAAGTGGTTCTTAGATTAAGTATTTTATACAGTTTTATATTTTCGATCATGGTTAATTTTAGTTAATCCATTGGCAACATAATTATTAAGCTTTAACACTGCTATTAAATTGCACAAACAATAAATGATTTTAAATGAACAGACAATAAAAACTTAATTTAAGATCTTAAATTGTGAGTGCCTATTTTCAATTAAGCTAACAAATAAAAGAATCGTGMTACTAAAATTATATTGTTTTAATCATTTAATAATAATTAACAAATATTAATTTAAAACACAATTTTAAAATATATAGTACTTAAACTTACATGTGAAACAAGTAACCTTGAAATCACCGTCTTCRTAATAAAGTTCGGCTTTTTCAAATTTATTTGTAGGTAAATACTCTAAAGACATATTACACTGAAAATAATATGATATATATTTTATTTTAATGAAAACTGAAATTGATTATGAATTGAAATAATTAAATAATTACTTTAGTTTTTATTGAAGAAATAATTTTTTTTCTGCCTGTAATAGATCTCAAAAAAGGCAATATAAATAAATGTACACAGTTATAGATGGACTCAGAGTCAGAGGTATTAATGTGCAAAAATAMTACTGATTTCTCATCAGTTCCTATGAACATCCTTCCAAATTCAAGTGAAATCCTGTAGGACAGTTTATATTTATAATTAATCCTTATGCATTATCGTAATTTTAGATGTATCAATATAATTTATTAAATTCCTTTTTATATTTACTTGCGTGTATTGTTAGTAATGTGAATATGTGATTCAACATTGTCATCACAAAATTCATCAACGTTTCCACAAAATATAATAATTGGATTATCATAATCAAACACAAAATCAAATTGTTCAGGGGATTTGGTTAAGCTGTTGGTAGAAAATATTGAAATTTTTAACGAGAACTTTATAAAACAGTTTGAAAATATTTACTAACCTTTTACATAAAGATTGGCTAAATATGTTTCCTTTAAAGTCAGACCCTTTCAGCATATTTTTTAACTTATGAGATATTGCATAAGCCGAATTATCATTACATGCAACAATGTGTATTGATGGATATCTATTCAAAATATTTTAAATTAAATATACTTAAATGTGCACAGTACATTATTTCTTATCAAAACTTACTTGTACACCTCCACGTCTTTGCAACCCACAGAACGTAGCAAAGCTATTTCAAAGGGACCAAGAACAGTTTTCTCATCCAGAAGACGTTGTCCTATAGWTATGTCGGAACCAATATTTCTAAAAGAATAAAAATATTACTTAATTTTAAATAATAAATCTAATAAATAAATACAGTAAAACCACTTTATAACTGTTACTTAATAAAATGGAAATAACCTTCTCTAATMGAAACTCTTCTTATATAAAAAAAATCAGTTGATACCAAATTTTTCCATTATATTGTTTCGTGTTTCTAATTTTGAATATGTATATGTCGCATCAACATAGTAAAATTACTCATTTCATAAACTAGATATCCAGATAGTGAAATCTGCTCAAATCACAAACTTTGATGAAAATACATAATATGGATATCCGTTTCATGAAAAGAATATTACTTATATTGAATGCTTTGTGTTATTTACAATTATAAAACTTATTWWAATTTTTTTTTAACAAAAGTTATATCATAACAAATTATACTTTTTTGTATTGTTTTCTAGAAAAAATATGGGTGTATACGTAATATACGTATTTCATTATATGAAATTAATTATTGTTTAAATGTATTTTCATCAACGTATCAACGTTCATAACAAATGACACTGTGGATAATATTATAGGTACATAATTATACTATGTTAAACTTACCTAATGTTTTCAAAGAGCTTAGGTTCTTTTAATATAGCAATTGTGATTTCAACTTTTTCATCAGATGATTTACTTTTAACTAATGTATCTTCAACTTGTACTACACAATTGGCTCCTGGTGGTAAAGGTGCTCCAGTACTAATACGTGCACATTCTCCTTTCCTTATCTCTTTTTGACAACCCGGCTATAAAAGGTTAATAATTAATAAAGATAAAACACAGAGACAGTTTTTTTTATACACATATACTTTTATTTTTATTGTTTTTTTATCCATTAATTACATGGTTATATTGTGGGGGGAGGGGTATGAGGTACTATGAGGCGAAAATTGGTCATTAAAAATCGGGATGGTCACCCATTGGTTGGATGGCCAGCCGATGCTTGACCTTAGAGCACATTAATGACTGTGGCCAATCATGTTACATTATATTGAAAGTAAAATATATACTTACAGAAGTACCAGCTACAGATACTTGCACAACATTAAATACATTAGACTTTTGAAACCAATTTTTCTTGTACTTAATAGCATACCCATCTTTTATAGAAGCTTGAAACTGTGGCAAATTTTCAGAAGAATTAATGGGTGAGTATGAAACATAACCCATAGCGAAACTGCAAATGGTATCATTATTTATTGTTTGAATTTTTAAAATATCTAATAAATTAAAAATAATAGGTAATGATAATAGGTAATGGTATATTTACTCAGTAGGTATAATTTCAGTTYYAGCTTCAAATATATTTTCTGTCATCAAATGCAGTACATCTTCTATACATGAATAGAGAAGTGGTTTTTCATTTTTTGTATTGCCTAAAATTGCTTGTTTTTTGATTATCTAAATGAAATTTAATAATAAATAAAACTTACATAACATTAAATAATACTGATGAGTATTTCATTAGAGATGTTTTTTGTATTATTATTAATTTTGAAATATTAGTAAGTTAATTTTAAATAAATGAATTGCACGTTAATCTTAGTTGTACATAATAATCTAATATTATTATTATATTACAAAATATGTTATTTTTTTTTCTTACATACATTGTCTTCATGTTAAATCAAATAAAAAATAATGAGTCCATGACCCATATGGTCCTCACACAATATTATACATGTATTTTTATTACACATTAAGAATATTAAAATTATAAGCTTAAGCGTGATATAAATTTTTAATTAGTGACTAATATGAATGCTACATGCTCTGAAACTCCATAAAATATAAAAAATAATATAACTGAGTCATAGCTTACGTCTTTAYAATACCATAGATTTTAAACAACATTCTTTTTTAAAAATTTAATTTCCATTAAAATTAAAATTTTTTTTAAAGGTATTAAAATGTTTAAAATGTTATTTGACATTACATTAATTTATGTCTGAAAATGTGATTCTTGTTATGTTGGGTAAAAGTGTCTAAGTTATAAACTATCCTAAACTAAAAGCATGAATATTTAAAATGTTATCTTCTGCTCCTCTAAAATTAAAATTATTATTATTATTTATGATACATACTATTGATTTTAGATAGCTAATAATATAATATATAAAATATAATAAATTAAATACCATTTATCATCCACCACAAATAATAATTAGAATAATAAGTTCTCTACCTCAATACATAAGTTCATTTCTTTTAATATAGGTGCAATATATGTATTTTCTATACTTTTAATTAGTATAACATCCATAATTGTACTTGATTCAACATTTGTTTTTTTTGATGATGAAGGCAATTGGAGTAAACAGTTAGAACCGATAAAACTCAAAAGTCTGCTACTTTGTTGATAGTTGTCTATGATACATAATACAAAATAATAAAATTATTTTATTTATTATTACTAGTATATGCATATTATTAAAAAAACTATTTAGAGTAGGTTTCACTAATTTATATGATAATAGACTATTTAATTTATTTTAACTTTAATCTAAACTATGAGTATGTGTATCATGCCATTTTATGGATCCAGTTATCTTATAATCACTTTTAAATTAGCAACACTTTATACTTTTAACATACTTGGGATTAAGTAAAACATTCAAAATATATGTAATAAGAATCAATCAGACTTTCAGGCAATATAAAATAAAAGTTGGATATGAATTGTTTTTTTAAATGAGCACAAATGTATTTGCCTTTAACTACAAATGTTTACGTAGGTATAAATGATTATACAACATTCTAAAAGCATTTCCTTTAAAATTCAAGTTATAGTAATCATATAGAATAAAAATGTAATGTTTGTAATAACTTTAAGTTGTAACAAACCTAAATAATATGCCTGGTATGAATTATTATACTCGTATGGCTTTCCTTAAGTTTAAGATACCCTATATGCACAACACTATAAAAAATTAATTAGATAACAAAATAAATAATTACTTAAACAGGACACATATAACTCCCCATTTTCATACTTAAGCAACGCTCTTCGATATTCAGGTCTAATATCCAATCCATTGATAGTATGTGTTAGCTGTAAATGTATGTGTTACATTATTATAAAATAAGGTTACACACTAATATACTAGATAGTATCTAAACAAATATTATTTACCTTTGCTTTTAAAGAATGGATAATTAATTTTTTTCCAGAAACTGCTCTCAAATATGGCAATAAGAATAAATGAGTACATACACCAGCAGACACAGGATTTCCAGGCAAACAAAATATATATTTTTTTTTGTCTTTAAAAATAAGTGTCACAAAGGTAGTTGGCATTCTGTAATACTAGTGTCTTAATAAAATTGTTCCATCTAATATATATAAATGTATAAGTAACCATCTGTTAGCATAATTACCCAGGTTTCATATTGACTCTTCCAAAATGAATTTTACTTTTAAAGTGATTTTTGAGCACATGTTTAATCAAATCCTTTTCGCCCATTGATACACCTCCACTGGTTACTAATATATCCGCATTATTAAATGCTTCTTCAAAATGTTTGCAAAGATCATTCCAACTTAATGAAACAAATCATTTTAATAACATACAAATATAAGTGCATTACACATATTAACCATGTACACACTTGTCTCTTATAATTCCATAATTAAATATCTGTCCCTTATAGTTGTCTTGTTCTAATATTTGTTTTATCATAAGAGAATTAGTGTCTCTAATATAACTACTATGTGAATCTTTAATGCTTTCAAGTTCATCACCAGTGGAAAAAATCCAAACAGTAGGGTACCTGTTAAATTTTACCTAAAATTAATATTGTTTTACATGATTTATTTTTAATACTAATTAATTTATATTATGTATCTTATTTATAAATACAATATTCTAAATGATCAAAGATATCTAAGTAACATGTATTTATCATGTGTAACACTAACCTAATTTTATTGTTTTCAGTATATTGTAAGACAGCATGTTCTTTTAAAATACTTAAAGCTGATTTCATGGAAATCTTTGGAAATGGCGATTCTCTGGGTCGACATGCTATTTTTGTCACATATTCCTAAATAGATAGCAGTTTAAAATCAAAAATGTAAGACCATAACCATTATTATTTGTAATTTATTAATAAAAACAGTAACAAACACTAAGAGGATTTCAAAACTAAATTCACAATAATCTATTCTACTCTGTTGTTTTCAGAACTAATAAGATATCTATATAGGGAATCTCAAAGGATTTTTTGAAGCTATTTAATTAATTAATTTTTCTATTATGATATAAATCATATGATCATTCAAAAATTGATGATTTTAAAATTATCATAATTTGCTTCATACTTCAAATATCAATAAAATCTCTAATTTTAATAGTAACAGAACAAACTAGATTACATTGTATCTATATAGTACATTTGAAAACTGGAGACAGCACTAGTGGGTGTGACGTGCTCTTAAGAGTAGAAATTACAAACGGCGTGCTGAACCATTTGTGTTTTCTCTGAGATCCACGCGCAGAATTTAAGCTTTGTGTACAGAACATCCAAATTTATTTTGTTAACTTAAGAGTTAATATTAGAGTTAATTAACATATTGTCAAATATATAAATACATTTTATATTTTACATTTAAAAATGTACTTAGTTATTACTTATTACCAACTCAATTTTAAATTTAAATTTCAATAAAATCCTATAAGGTGACCTTGAAAATATCCTGATCTTCAAGTTTGATAATAGATTATTATATATTATTTATATTTCAATATGATATTAAAGCTAATAACATAAAATTTTATCAGCTGAACGCATATTACCCACGATGTACGTACCTATGTTGGTCAGAGAGAGAGAGAAAATAAATATTAGGCTGACATCCGCTTAATAAAATATTTTAAATAATTCAAATAATAAAATATTAAAATCAGTTATCTAACATACGGGAATTCTTGATTCATTATGACTCGTGAAATTTAATTGTTTATGAAATTGATTGGAAATTTCTTTTTCATCTTTAATTAATGAAACAGCATGTGGTATGGTACTAGCAACAACATATAAACACTCTTCACTTGCTTTACTGCTTCCCGGTAAATTAATAATCAGAGTTTTTTCATATATTCCAGACACTGCTCTAAACATAAAAATATATTTATAAACCTATTAATAGTTTCTCCTTAATAATTTTACTTATATATTATTATACCGTGAAAGCATTGCCATCGGAGTGAGTTTTAAACTCTCATTAATTATTGCTTGACTTATACCAGGTGTTAGTTTTTGAACAAGTCCAAGAGTTGCTTCAGGAGTTACATCTCTTGGACTTAAACCTGTACCACCTGTACTCAGMAAAACATCCACTTTTCTTTCAGAACACCATTCTGTCATTTTTGCCTAAGAAAAACATTTATCTTTAAAAATGTATTAAAAGTATTTGCAAAGTAACAAGGTGTCTCAGTAACAAATAATATATATATATATATATAGATAAAAAAACAAAATGTGCCGCAAGAATGGCTGTATAAGGTGTGCATTGCATACAAGTCTCTAAAAACTAAAAGCCAAAATTAAAAATTACCTATTTCAAACTAAAATTCATAAAAAAGTGTCTTTATATATCTAAGATTTAAAAATGTAATAAAAGATTTCTTATACATTATTCTTTTGACAAAATAAGAAAGGTCAAATAAGACATCAATAAGACATGTTTTGCCAGGTTAAACCGTTAAACTGCTTGAAAATCTAATAAAAAGTTTGTCATAGTTATTTTAATAGTAGTTTTTAAAGTATTAGGYATACCTACACAGATATCTTTTTTTATTAACATTTTAAATTTAAATTTTGATAAAAACTAATAGTTTTTTTTTTCTTAAGAGGTCGTCGCACCGTCTCCGCCTCTCTTTAATTGTACATGAGGAAAGTAGGTAATGTATGCACCTGCGCCCTCTGCAATTTCAAGAGGCACAATGAATTATTAAGAAAAATTATTMAAAAAAGGGGGCTAGGGCYCATTAGCCCCTTGGGTAAGCACCAGGTTGMACCATCTACGTCAAAGGTCTATACACGCCTATGGTAATATTTGTTATTGACTTGATGAGATGGTTATGAAAAGTAACAAATAATAAAGTAACTTTAACTTCCTTATTATATTTTAAAAATAAAATTGATAATATTAATTTGGGGACTCAAAATAATTCCTTACATACGGGCCTACATACATAGTTGCGGCACAGCCACCAATAGGCAGTCTACACACAAATGTATATCACACATTCTACTTTAATTACTGGGACAAGCACAAATAAGCAGACTTGTACTTATTAGTATTGATCATTATCTTAGTTAGTATTATTTTGTCTATTATCATCATAATGAAGCAAACAGAGGGAATGATTTGAAGATATATTTTAGATGACCATTACAATTTATTTATAAGATAAAATACTTACTGAATTATAATTAACATTATAAAAATGATAGAAAAGGATTTATATAATACACAACACTACATTTTTTAATTGAAAATGATTGAATTTGATATCTGTTATATGAAAATGTAATGTAAAATGCATACAGATAGACGTCAACAATTTCTTTTATAATCTAATTAGCATAGTCAGAGGAATAATATAAAACAATACCTGAATTAAATCAAAATCATCAGTGACACAATCATACTGAACTACTTTAGCCGATTTAATCACATTTGAATCATTGATCAATTTAATTAAATTTTGGCCACTGGAGTCAAACGAATCAATGTTAGATTCTGATGGTGTTCTAGTGTCACTAACTGAAATTAGGCTCAAAAGTATGAATTTAATATAGAACTAATATTAAAACATCTTACTTGTTAATATTCCCACTTTAATAGTTGTTTCTTTTAGATCCATAATTAAAAATGTMATTGAATAAAATGCAAATACAAATACAATTTTATTAAAGATAGTTTGAGTTAATTCAATCAATCATGGATATTTAACTMTCACTTATACATTAATATAATTATATATATACACAATATATAATTTTATTTCACGATGATATACTTAGTTGATATTGTGTTAACAGCATTACATAATCATTTAATGCATTGGATTAATAGAAGTAAAGTCAAATTGTGCACAAGTTTAATGAAATAGTATAGGCAAAACTATTAGCTTAAACAAATAAAAAATAACTAAAAAAAMCTTCTTATAACGTAATAATTGCTTGCTTATTTAATCACTGGTTATGAAATGGAAATAATTTAATTTATCATTCGTTAATTGTTCAACTTGATTGTAATATTATTGTAGACAGTTTTATAAAAACTATAAAATGTAAAAGAGGCAGAGTACAGTGAGGCGATATCCTTAATCCTATCGAAATTTCGAAAATATCATAATAATTAGAGCCTTGATAAGTAATTTAATATAATTTAGAGCTTATTTAATAGCACAGAACAATAGGTAGTAATTTTTATCACTTTTATCGACTTATGAAGCCGCCACCCACTAACCACTAGACCAAGTAGACCAGAGAACTCATTAGCCATTGCCCATTACTCAGTCAAGACTTCAAGAGGACAATCATGCACATAGCACATTAGGATTAGATAGGTAATCTTTAATACGAGCCGTTTGCGCGTCGCGCCAGCATCTTTTTATCGTGTTATCATCATATTGTTATCAGTGCGGGATTAMATTATATTTAAAATTATAATTATTTTACAATAATTTGTCATATAAGTTAATAGTTACMTATGCTTACAAAATGGAATCACGGTTGAAATGTTCTATTTGTGACAAATCTTTTGCTCAAAAATATAATTTAAATGAACATCAGCGAAAAATTCATAARTAAGATCCAATCACTACAAAAAGTTTTACCTGTTCATTTTGCAACAAAAAATATACAAGCAATAAATCATTGCTTGCACACACCCAGAAATGCCATAATGCAAATGGAAACATCATAAAAAGCGTGAATCAATCCAGAATATTCTGTCCATATGAGGATTGTCAAGAAGTATTAATGACACTTGTAAGACTCCGAATGCATTTAACTGAAAACCACGGAATTGAATCTGAATTGGAGGAAATTAAATTCAATGCTGAAACAGGTCATTTTTTTTACCTTTTTTTTATTTTGAATCAAAATAAATGCTAAAGAATGTGTATTCACAGAAGTTTTTTTTATAAGCATTTAAAGTTCAAATTTTGACTAAATACATAAAAATTACGGCAATGTTCAAATTATCTTAGATAGAAATTCATAAAAAAWTTTCGTTTTATATCTAAGATTTGAAAATTTAATACAAGGCTCCTAAAATATGTTTACAATAGCAGTTGAAAAATAAAAGAAATATATAGCCACAATTTTTTTTTACATGCATTCAAATTTTAATTTTGACAACATACGTAAAAATCACGAAAATTCGCAAATTATTATAAGCTAGAAATTCATAAAAAATTTTTTTTTAAATCTAAGATTTGAAATTTTTTAATAATCTATAATATATCCTGGACAAATTAACTGTCTCCGTTCAGAGTCGTTTTTCGTATACAATACCTATCATTGCATTCAAATTTAACCTACCCTAGTCAGAGGTCTACCCCACCCCCTAATCTACAGCAGAGCGACATCCACTTACCCGGTTTTGTTATAATTACATTTTCCTATCTTTTTCAGCATATTGATTRTTGGTTAAGAATATCACCATTTTTAATTGTGTTTGATAATTCACGCTCAATGTTAAGAATACTTAAATTTGTAAATCTGTTTTGTGCCATATTTGATCTTAAATAAGTATTAATTCTTCTCATTGAGGAGATCGATCATTCACACGAAGCAGAACTAATAGGACTTGACAATGCAACATGCAATAATTTGTAGACATTTGAATACCTATGTGTCAAATTTAATAACAGAATGAAGTATCTCTCTCTGAGTTAGAGCTTCTCACAATTAATATTTTTGTTTTCCAAAGAATTTTTTGCTACAGTAAGTTCACATTTTAGATCAGTTTCTTCAATTTGTAACAAAGACTGAAACAAAAATTTTTATGATAAATAATCAAACACAAAAGAAAAATTGAATTTTGTTTGTATTACTTACATATTATATATTATAATGATTGAAAAAATAAGAATCTTTTTCATATTGAAGATTTAAAAATGTGTCAACTGACTTAGCAAATTTTAGGCTTTCCGCAGAAAATCTTGTTTTCATGTTCATAATTATAGCATCAAGTACCGGAAAGTAAGCATTTTACATCTATTCATCTTTAACAGTTCTAACACCTTCAATTATATCTTCTGCGCCTGTTGTAGTTGTAACTACAAAATTACTTAAGGAACTTGGGTCTTTTCTCTTTCTTTTTGAATCTGATAAAATAGTAAATAATAATTATGCTACAATATTGGTAACCAAAGTAATATTACCGAATTACATGACTAGCAGTGGGTAGCTGAGCTGGTAATCGGTCAAAAAGTCCGGTATGGAAATAGTTGGACAAAAAGTCCGAAAATACAAAATTGTCTAATTTGTCATAATTAAGTAATTATAATATTATGTATATATATATATATATTTATATTTTCTTCTTATTATTATTTTTTATTCCTAACATAAATACAATAGAAATCCACTGGATTATGATTTTTAAGATAACATATTATAAAACATCGATAATAATTATAATGAAAATAATAATTTAAAATGAGTTATATGTTTWAAAAAATTGTCAATACAAACATTGATCCAAATATAATAATAATATTTAAAAAATTTAGTCTACAGTAATAATAATACAATAATAATATTTTTTAAAAAAGTTACCTATACGATATATTTACAGATATAAATTAATAATTTGATCTACGCATTACGTTTGCCAATACAATAATTATATATGAACTGACTATATAGATAATATTACATACCTATATAATTATATTATACAATTATAAATGAAAATTGAATAGACAATTTTGTATTTTTGGACTTTTTGTCCGACACTAAAAGTCTAAAAATGTGTTTGGCAATCAAAAAATGAATCTGGACTTGGCGGACTTTTTGTCCAACTATTTCCATGCCGGACTTTTCGTCCGGGAATCAGCTAAGCCTTATGCGAATGAGAGAGAAATGCAGTATCTCACTTCCGTAAGGAGTTATGTTCAAATAAAATAATACGCTTCGATCACGACCAGCAGGCCACAGCTAATCAGTAGAGTAGAGATTAAATTCTTATCTATCTAACCTTAACATCTTATGGATGATTATAACGTTATAACATAACATTATTTAAGATTTATAACGCAGTTGTACCGTCTTTGATTAAAGTTAACCTGAGTTTAATCCAAGGTTTATAGATTATAAATAATATAATATAATCTATAAACCGGAGTTTAATCGGCCGAATTTGCATGGTTAAATATCTGTTATCAGCTGATTAAGCGTAATCGAAGTTTAACCGTAGGCGGTWCCTACAACACTGGCCCTAATATTAATTACATACCTAGTTTAATAAGAATAAATATCGATATTTTTGATGAGAAAATTGTAAAAAAACAATAAAATAGATACATTGAGTACTTGTTTATAATATTGCTTACTGCTATAATTTGTAKTCATACATCGTATATTATATAACTTTTTTTAATTTAAAAAAAAAACAATATGAGTCTTAACCGTGTTTCATGTAGGTTTCTAAAAAACTCTATTGGAATACAGAAAAATATCAGAAGTTTTGGTTGCACTAATCACCGAGCATTGAGATTTGTTCAATACAGAGATGGTTGTGATCGAGGGCTGGGTATCCAGTTGAAAGACGGTGAATCATTAGTGAGCTTGAGTGATGTAGATCCAACTATTCCCGTTGATATGGTATCGTTTTTACACAGTGAATACTCAATTGAAAGAATTGAAAAGTTGGTATAAAATAACTAATAATACATTTAGATAATCATTAATTATATATTGGGTTGTTATGTTGAAGGATAGTTAAAGAAAAAAAGAAAGTTTTTCAGTTGAATCAGATTGAATTACTACCGTGTATTACAAAACCAGATAAAGTAATATTACGATAACAATAATAAGTGTTATACCTATGCTGTATTTGATAAATTATGCAATAAAATTTGTTTCAGGTAATATGTGTTGGGTTGAATTATAAAGGTCACTGTGATGAACAAAATAAACCATATCCCATAGAGCCATTTTTTTTTTCAAAATTTCCAAGTACAATTATTGGCCCAAATGATGCTGTAAGGCATTCACCAAAATCAAAAGTAAACAGTTATCTATATTTTTTTCCATTTACCTATAACACAATGTGTTATAATAATTATTTTTTTTATTGTGTATTTCAATGATTATTAATATTTTAGGCACTAGATTGGGAAGTAGAAATGGCTGTAGTCATTGGAAGTACATGTAAGAATGTAGATATTGATGATGCATTCAAATATGTATTTGGATACACTATTGCTCAAGATATATCAGCAAGAGATTGGCAAAAAACTAGAAATAATGGACAGTGGTTGATTGGTACATTTTTATTGTCTTAATATAATCAAAGCTGGTTACTAACTAGTTAGAAATAGGTTTTGGTTTAACTTATTAGTTTTTGTTCATAATAAYGTTGTAACTTAATAACTTGAATTAGTATTCATGTTGTATGCGGTCTACCGCACATTTGCTGTCTACCACACATGCAGTCCACCACATAGTTAAAAATATGAATGAATACATAAAAATGTTGAATTAAAATATATTTATTGATGTAAGATTTTAATGTAATATTTAATAATACAAAAAATATATAAAAATATGTAGATAAATTTAATTAGTATATGTATTAAAAACTAACTGACAAAAAATGTAAAAATGTATAAAAATATTCATTAATTAATTATTATATGTAGGTAAATTTAATTGGTATATGTATTAAAACTAACTGACAAAAAATGTAAAATTATATAGAAATATGCATTAATCAATTTAAATTAGGTACAATATAATTTCACATCTCTTAAAAAAGAATCAAATGTGTTGTCGTCCTTGTTTTTTAGACGCCATCATTGTCTCCCCTAATACAAGGGCAGCAATGATGAAGATGTACCATGCATTTTTTAATAATTCGAAGTTTTAAATCAAAAAAATATATAGATGTGCAGCAGTAGACCGCATATGGCATGTAGAAATATACGTGGTATACAACAAGTGTACGGTAGACCACATACAACATGAATACCCTTAAATTTAATGTGTAAAATAATCTAATCTAACTGAACAATAAGGAACTAGTTGTTTCTTTTGTAGTTTTTTTTTCATATCAAAAATTTAAATGTTCCATAAAACAAATATTGGTATCCATAGTTTGTATATTTTTTTTTCACATTCTGTATTCTAATAATTAATATTCCAAAATTGTTTAAAAAAAATTAATTTTACTACTTATAACTTACTTATTTGAAACATTTATTCAAATTGTTGGTTTAGTTAAATTTTTCTATTGTCACCAGTAACTTTTAAGAAAGATACCAAGTTATTAATTTATCTAATACTTAACATATTTTGAACATTTGGGTTTTTAAATTTTTATTATAAATTATACAAAGATAAAACTTATAATTTTCTTGTTATCTAAGTTAGACTTTTGGAGAATTTCAGAAACTAACTTATGATCTAACTTAATTAATTTTTCTATTAAAGTAATGTAATTTTAACTTGCTAAACAAAATTAATAAATTACCCAGTTTTGGTTGTAATGGATCTACTCTACTCACATTTGTCAAAATGTAGTTCCTTAATTAATTTTATAGCAAAAAGTATGGATACATTTTGTCCTTTGGGATCAGTGTTGGTTCACAAAAATGAAATTCCTGATCCACACATACTTCAAATAAAATGTTCAATTAACGGCGTCATGAAACAAAGCGGTTCAACTGAAGAACTGATTCACAGAGTTGATAAACTAGTTTCATTTTTGTCGAAGTAAATACAATACATAATTYTAATAATACTTAATTTATACATGCAAATATATTTAAAAAATAGGGTATGTGAATGTCGCTCTGCTCAACAGTAGGTTACAAGTGGGTTACTGTAATGGATGGTATTACATTTTTATTCAATTTTATAATATAATTGTATACAAAAAATGATTCTAAGCATAGACGTTTTATCAGTTTAGGATATTTTATACTGTATTAATTATGTTGTTATTTCAAAAAAAATGTAAGTACCTATAAAATAAATTCCAAATTAATCAAATCAGATTCATTATATATCTGATTTACTCAGTCATTTATAGTATATGTAGTATATGTACTATAAAGTATAAAGTATTATTAAATGTTATTGACGACATTAACTATTACAATTAGAATATAAAGTATACTCTAGAAATTTTAAGTACCCAAGAATAATATTTATAAACTTCAACAATATAGCTGAAAATGTAATTCCATCCAAATTTTAACTTTAAAAAAAAAAATAAAAAAACTGGTTTTTGTTGCAGAATTAACAGCTTGTTTAATTTGAATTAACCTTGTTTTAAATTTTCAATTCTTAGCTACAAAAGTTAAGTATTTTATAAATTGTTAACATCTAAATAACTTGAAAATTTAAATGAATTAAATGAATTATGTTAAAATTTGAACTTTTATAACGGTTATAAAAAAATGTGCCAGTGTATTTTTTAATATTTTCCAACTGCTGTTATATTATCGGTTAGGGAATTATCGGGGATTATTGGGAAATCTTGAATTTTCAAGATGTTTGAACAAACAAATCAAACGTTATTGACATCTATAGAAAAAAATTGAAAATAA